AAATAGTAGAAGGTCTAATTCCTTTAAAGTGTATTTCTGTAGATGGGCCTAAGTTGTTGTTGTGGCTGCGAATGAAAGCAGCATTATTATTTCATTGTAATTCCCACACACAATACACGTTCTAACCACACACCCTATATACCTTTACCACACAACCTTACACATTCAATTATCCATACACTGTACACAGCATACCGTTCCCATAGTCACTATCCTTACACAATACTAATGCATCTTACTCACACATTCACCAGATCCTTACACAGTACACATTCACCATACTCATTCATTGTCCTCACACTGTACCCATTCAGAGTCCTCACACTGTACCCATTCAGAGTACTCACACTGTAACCATTCAGAGTCCTCACACTGTAGCCATTCAAAGTACTCACACTGTACCCATTCAGAGTCCTCACAATGTACCCATTCAGAGTACTCACACTGTACCCATTCAGAGTCCTCACATTGTACCCATTCAGTGTCCTTACAAAGTATCCATTCAGTGTCCTTATTAAGTATCCATTCAGTGTCCTTACAAAGTATAAATTCAATGTCCTTACAAAGTACCCATTCAGTGTCCTTACAAAGTACCCATTCAGTGTCCTTACAAAGTATCCATTCAGTGTCCTTACAAAGTATCAATTCAGTGTCCTTACAAAGTAAAAAAGTATCCATTCAGTGTCCTTACAAAGTGTCCATACAGTGTCCTTACAAAGTATCCATTCAGTGTCCCTACAAAATACCCATTCAGTGTCCTTACAAAGTATCCATTCAGTGTCCTTAAAAAGTATCCATTCAGTGTCCTTATAGTACCCAATCACCATATCCTTTCCTTACAGTACCCAATCACCATATCCTTACAGTACACAATCACCATATCCTTACCCACTACCTAATCTCCATATCCTTCCACAGTACATATTCACCATATCCTTACACAGTGTACATTCACCATATCCTTACACAGTACATAATACACCATCAACTGTAACTTAACAACTATAAAAGTATTAATTGTATTAGCCTCAATTTATGCGATAATTTTTTTTTAAATTAAATAAATTATACTTGAATGTAGATATAATAACAAAGAGGAGATGCACATACACATATTTTTACTATATTCTCTTTTACTTTTATGAACAAATACATAATTAATTATGACATAAAAATCTTAATACTGACCTACGTGGCAGTGTTAAAGTGGACTACACCTTACGAATAGACAACCGGCCCCCTCGAAAAAGGGGGGGGGGGGG